GGAATGGGGGTGTTAGTTCAATGTTCTAGACAAAGGCATTTCCAGATCAGGAACTCCGAGATGGGTGGGCACCCAGAATTCAGGGAAGCCAGAGAGGGGAAGTAGAGATACGAGGTCTGAGTGGAGAAGCTGAGACCTTGAGTACCGGTAAGCCATCAGTCTTAGGCAAGAACAGAGGGGACAGAGGGGGAAAAACGCTTATTCTTCAAAGACTGCTTACTAGTTCTCAGCCTTTTCACTACCAAAAGCTATTTTTATTATTCTCCACCTTCCTAGGACCCCAAGGTTTCAAAGATTTTGATTATCAACTTTAAGCTTTTGTTTTAAAGATTGTATGCAATGCAAAGTCCAGATCTTAAGTTTACTGTTTAATGGACTTTGACTATTAACTTGAATATAGTAATTCATTTCCCATTTGTATTACTCAAAGATACATAAAATTATTAATTAGAACCTAGGATGATCAAGTTAATGCAATATAGCTCGACATTAGTATTCCTGACATTTTAGTTAGCCTGTTTGGCATATTTTAAGCCTTTTGACATACAGATTAATACTAGTTCTTAGATCCATATCATCATCATCTGAGACCCCTGAGGGCCATGAATCCCAAGTGAGTGAACAGACTCAATTCTGGGAAGAACTGGCCCAGAAGAATAGGACTGTTATTGGCTTTAGGCTTAACAAATTTCTTTCTCTTTATACATATATATACTTATATATTATTATTATATATAAATTACATATAATAATTACATAAATTATATATAAATATATATGTTATAATAATATCTAACAATATATAATATTATTACAATATCTAATAACATATACTAATTGCATTATATATAGTTATGTATATTTACATATTACATATATAATTATATATGTAATTTTACGAAATATTCTCTATGTGTCAATCACCTCTTTGTAAAATTTTGTAATGAATATTTTGTACATTTAGCTACAATTTCCTATCTTCCCTCCATATGACAGCTTTAGGGGCAACTTGTGAATACCCTGTGTATAGATAGGTAGAGATAGAGGTCACGCACATAGTGAAATGTTACTATAGTCAAGCAAACTAGCATATCTATTATGTCACATGGTCATTCCCTTTTTTTTTGTGGCAAGAACACCTACAGTCTACTTTTTAGCAATAATTCTCAAACACAATATGATATGATAGATTGAGCATCCTTACTCTGAAAATCCGAAATGCTCCAAAATCTGGCTGGGCATGGTGACTCACTCCTGTATTTGGGAGACTGAGGTGGGCAGATTGCTGGAGCTCAGGAGTTCGAGACTAGCCTGAGCAAGAGCAAGACCCCAGCTCTAAAATGTTGTGGTGGGTGCCAGTAGTCTCAGCTACCCAGGAGGCTGAGGCAGGAGGATCTCTTTGAGCCCAAGGGTTTGAGGTTGCTGTGAGCTACGATGCTACAGCACTCTACCCAGGGTGACTGAATGAGACTCTGTCTCAAAAAACAAACAAACAACACAAAAAACCTGCTCCAAAATCCAAAAATTTTTGAGCACCGATGTAATGTGACAAGTGGAAAATTCTACACTTGACCTCCTGTGAGAAGTCAGAGTCAAAACGCAGTCAAAACTTTGCTTCCTGCATAAAATTATATTTAAAAGTATTGTATACAATTACCTTCAGGTTGTGTATTTAAGATGCATAGGAAATATAAATAAATTTCATGTTTAGATTTGGGCCCCATCACCAATATATTTCATTATGTGTATGCAAATTACTCCTAAGTCTGAAAAAATCTGAAATCTGAAACATTCTGTTCACGAGCATTCCAGCTAAAGGGTACCCAGCCTTGCCCTCACTGCAGGCCACGTGCTGTACTTAGATCTCTGGACTCCTTCATCCTCCACATCTGCCACTTTTACGCACTGATCACCAACTTCCCCTTTCCTCTCCCCTCTACCTATAACCACCATTTTGTTCTCTAGGTCTGTGTATTCATGTGTTTTAAAAAAAAAGATTCTACATGTAAATGAGATTATCTAGTACTTTTCTGCCTCTCTGGCTCATTTCACTTAGTACAGTGCCCTCCAGGTGCATCTAGGTCAGTGGTTCTCCACCTGTGGGTCACGACCCAGGGGAACTGTATTAAAGGGTTGCAGTTTAGGAATGTTGAGAACCACTGGACTAGGTTGTGGCACATAACAAGATCTTCTTTTTTAAGACTGAATAATGTTCCATTGTACATTTATATATGCAGTGGTTCCCAACCAATTTGGCAACTGGTTTATTATGGTCTCTGTGCAGTCAAACCTCCCTGCTGCCCGGCTCAGTTGCCCACTGCTCACCTCCTGCTGTATGGTCCAGTTCCTAACAGGCCTCAGCATCAGTCTGCAGCCCAGAGGTTGGGGACTGCAGTGTATATATGTATACCACAGTTTCTTTATCCATTTATCAATAGTTGTTTCCATATCTTAGCTACCGTGAATAATGCTGCAATGAACATGTGTGTCTAAATATCTCTACAAGGTGATGATTTTATTTTCTTTGGGTATATACCCAGAAGAGGGATTGCTGTGTGATGTGATAGTTCTATCTTTTATTTCTTTAGGAACCTCCTTACTGTTTTCCGCAATGGCTGCACTGATCTATCTTCCCACCAACAGTGTACAAGGGCTCTATTTCCTCCACACTTTGCTAACACTTGTTATCTCCTGACTCTGTGATTCCAACAGGGGTGAGGTGATAGCTCATTGTGGTTTTAATTTGCATTTCCCTGATGTTTAGTGATGTTGAATACCTTTTCATATCCCTGTTGGCCATTTTTATTTCTTATTCAGAAAAATGTCCATTAATACTTTCTCCAAGACCACTGGCCTACCTATCTTTGTTGATACTCACCTATTGAGTTAGGAGAGGTGGGATTGTATTAGTTCTTCATAATAAAAAAACAATGATTCATTACAAGTTTTATTATTCTATTTTATTTTATTTTTTGAGACAGTTTCATTATGTCACCCTTGGTAGAGTGTCATGGTATCCTAGCTCATGGCAATCTCAAACTCTTGGGCTCAAGCAATTCTCTTGCCTCTGCCTCCCAAGTAGCTGGGACTACAGGCCACAATGCCCTGCTATTTTTTTTTGCATTTGTCATCGTTGGTTATCTGGCCCAGGCTGGGTTCGAGCCCGCCAAGTTTGGTGATGTGACCAAGTATGGCTCTGTAACCACTGTGCTGTGGGCACCGAGCCTCATTACAAGTTTTAAAATGAAGTCTATGTGATAAAATTAAGGAATTACTGTTATTTGTTAGGTTTGAGGGTTATGTGGTGATATTGTTTAATGAGAGAGTTCTTACCTTTTAGAGATATGTGCTGAAATAGTTACAGGTGATATGATATCTGGGATCTAATATAAAATAATTCCAAGTGATGGTAGTGATTAAAAAAAAAAAGCAACAACACAAGCCTGAATTGATAACTGTTGAAACTGGTACCTGGGAATTCATTATGCTATTTTTTCTACTTTTATATATGTTTTAAATTTTCTCATAATACAAAAAATTTAAAGGAAGGAATAAATTAAGGATGTCTGTCAGATCTTTCTGTCTATGTCACGCAAAAGGGATTTAGTACAAGGGATCAAGTGCCTATAAATTTATCCAAATTGCTGGCAGAGCACACTATAGACCGGGCCTCTAGGAATAACTACCCTAACACCACCACTCAACTAGCCTGCTAAGGTTAACTGCCATTTGCGCTTCCATTGGGAAGTCAGGAAACCAGGAAGCCATCAATTTCAACCATGTGCTCCAGAAACACATCACTGGAGCCAAATTTGAGATCAGGAACCAGAACCACAATTGTTTGGCTCCAGTGCTCCTGCTGTACCTGCTGGAACTGTACCAGCAAAATGGATGCCTTCTCTGGCCACCAGCACTCTCTGATAAGTGGCATCTAAATCAGGTCTAGAATCCTAGCTGCAAAGGAGTGTGGGAAAGGTAGTCTTCAAATTTCTAACCTTTGCAGGACGGGACTAGAAAGAGGTGGGAACAAATATGGAGTGGGATGGTCTACTACACGATATCAGCAATTAGTGTGTCAGTACTGTTGCCAATATAAGGTACGCCTTCCCTATCCTCCAATCTAATAGGACCTATTTTTAGATACAATTCAAGTTGTATCTCTTTATAAAGCTTACCTATTTATCCTCTTTCCTTCCTTCTTTCTTTTATGCATACATACATGTATAGACCATGTATGTATGTATGCCTCTGAAATATTTTCTGAGCTTTTTCTTTATTCTGCCAATATTTTATGGCACAGTGTCATTTTACATGGGATGATCTTGCTGGCTTAAGTAGGTTCTAAGTCACTTAAGGCCAGACAAGTTTGTGTATCCTGTCCTTTGATACATTACACCATGCAAAAAACAAGCTTATGCATTGTACATTGGTACTATAATAATACCAATAAGCACACCAAGATAATGATGTTTGCCTTACGTACCTCCCAAGATTGTAGCAAAGACCAGAAATAGTCTATACTGAGTAAAATGTGATTTGTAACCTACTATAAATGTTGAGAGATAATAATTATGGTTGGGTTACCATCAAGATCTTTACACTGTCACCCCAGCCTGCCTCTAATTAATTGCATTCTGGTGATTGTTTCTATTTTTCAGTAAAACCATAATTCTTTGTTTCTCGAACTCAACCTATACTTCCTGCCTCTGTGCCATTGACCACATTCCACTGACAAATTTCAGCTCAGGCTCCATCTCCACCTGTCAATCTCTGCGCGGCCAAGCAGTCCAGCAATTATGGTTGGATGTCAGTCTCTGGCAGCAGCAGTTAACCAGGCATTAACAGTAATGGTGTAAACCTGTGTTTAGTTACATAATACAGGATACGTGGTCCTCTCTTGTTAAGTAAACAAATGTTTTAAAAACTCATTGTTTGATGTGATTTCCATTTGTGTAAAGGCGTATCTGGTTTTTATTTGTACTGATTCTTTCATTTAACAGAGATTTACTGAGCATCTGCTGTGCGTTGGGAGCTTTATCTATGTGTGTAGAACCCCCCTGGAAGACCATACAACAATATATATACACTGATCGTCTCTGCTTGCTGAGATAACAGGTGAGTTGTTTCTGTGAGCTTGTTTACTCCATTTGCAAAATTGTATTTTCTAATATTTCTTCCCAAACCTGTATTTAGTTATTTATTCATTAATAAAGAACTGAGTTTGTTTTTTTTAAAAAAACTTCTGTCCTTCAGTATGCTTATGACATATTTTCATTGTATGAAAAACGTTAAGTTAAAAAACAATCTAAAATCCCCAACATTAAAATAAAAAAAGAAGGGAGAGTTAGAGACCTAATGAGAAAGAAGGAGAAAATGCATCAAAATCTTCATAGTAGCCCATTTGGGGGCAACGGAATTTCTTTTGCAATGTTGCTCCAAAAATTCTACAGTAAAGCTGCCTCAGATCCCTGAATTTGTCATTTTTCAAACTTTGTGAATCTCTTTACCACTTAGCACCCAATAAATACATAATAAATTGAATGGATAATATTTTCCAAGTATGGCTCAACCTTGGTGATAGATGTCACTGTTAATTTTTCCCCTTCATTTTCTATTTTCTTTTTATTTTATAACAAGAAAAATGTATTCTGTGTGATTAATTTGTACTGCCATTTTGCCTAATGCCGACAGAATTTTGGGGCCAGGACTTCCTCTATTCTTTTTATTCTTTTGCCTTTTTGTCCATTTCCTTAAACGACTAGCTATATATACAGACACTCACACATACACATACATATTTTTAATATGAAAGTTTAAATTTAAACAGTAGACTGCAGATCTATTATTAGTCAATCCTTCCTCTCCTCAGAAAATTTTTGTCTGGTGCCCTATTTCCTTCCAGTTTGTAGAGAGGAAAGAACGGGCTTCTTAACCCAGATTGGAAACGCCAGCCACTGAATTAACTTTCTATCAGACCTGTAAAATCCCTGCAGGGGCCTTTGTGGTAGTCATACAAGCGAGAATCAAGGTGACAAGTCTCCTGGAAATTACCCCGTCTAGCCTATATGGATAACTTTCATTATTTACTTCTAAGAGTGAGGGTGGGGTTCAGCCATTTTAATACATTTCGGCTTTTGCACAGTACAGGCAGATTGTAAAAAATGGCTGGGGCCTGAAGGCACGACACCCAGAGATGGGCCAGTCACTATTGCTGTGACTGGAAGAACAGACCTGAGACCAGGAGTCCAAGGGCTCAAACCTCCTTGTCCAGTCTCTCCACCTTCCAGGAAAGGCCTTGC